CTTTCTTAGGTCTTATTTCACACCCCAAAGTGTTACTTAATCCTTCAGTATATAAACGTTTTAAAAATTACTCTGCTGAAATAGATAAAGGTCCAGCATTGTGATACCCACCAGGGCTGTGGCTGAGAACATGGGCTTTGCCAGCCCTGCAAAGTAAACCAGCATTGTTATACTCATTTTGCTAGGAGGAAGGGGATTACAGGAGCTATGATAACCCTGGAGTATAATCCAGTGTTGCTATGCTGACATGCTTGGTGTTTTTAACAAACTGAGTGCTCACTGGAAGGACAGATCGTGAAGCTGAGGCTCCAATACTTTGGCCACCTCATGGGAAGAGAAGACTCTCTGGAAAAGACCCTGATGTTGGGAAAGATGGAGGGCACAAGGAGAAGGGGACGACAGAGGACGAGATGGTTGGATAGTGTTCTCGAAGCTACCAGCATGAGTTTGACCAAACTGCGGGAAGCAGTGGAAGCCAGGAGTGCCTGACGTGCTCTGGCCCATGGGGTCACGAAGAGTCGGACACGACTAAACAACAACAAAAAGTGTGTTTGTGTGTGTGTGTGTGTGTGTGTGAGAGAGAGAGAGAGAGAGAGAGAGAGAGAGAGAGAGAGAGAGATTGTTGTACCAGTTCATTTAATTAAAGGCGGGGTGAGGGGAGCCAGGGGAAGAAATTCACGTTTCTTAGTTTTAGCACCGGCTTGGTTTTCAGGTCTACCCATAGGTAAGATCGCATGTCTACCCAACCGAGAAACAATCAAGGGGCAGATCTGGTACACAAAGTTTTTCAGGTACTTTGCCATTGCTCAGTTACTAGATCTACCAGAAGTGGTAGCCCTGAATCTCTGGTGCTAGTTATTTATTTGAATTATTTGGTCTCCACCCCTCCCACCGGGGGGAAATATCTGCAGACGACCATGTATCATTTCAAATCCCATCTTGAAAATACCACTTTAATGGAAATGCCCAGGTACTGCTATTAGTGCCTTGCTGAATTTTGAAGCTGAAGAAAATGCTTTGTAAAAATTGGATGCACTGCATTGTGAAAAGCTGAAGCAACAATTTGGCAGAAGACAAAAATCTAGATGCATCATCTAGCTCTATGTGAAGTGCAGACTGTACGTCAGAGATGGGTAGCCTATGCTCTGACACCAAAAGTAGGAGTCTGCAGACCTGGTTTCTGTGGGATTTCTCTTTGCTTATTCCATTTGCCACCACCAGCATCTCGACTATTACACTGCCTACTTCATACGTCATTCTGACATGAAAAAGTGAGTGGAATTTCCTTATGAAAACAGGCACAGCTGTAGCAGACAGCAGCACACATGCCTTCTGCACAGTGGGATGAGATTGCGATAGATGTTGCCTACTTTCGAATGCTACCCCAAAATGAAAGTGTGGTCTATCCCTCATTTAAATGGCCAGTGACTAGAGATGAAATGGAGGTGGGCAACTCTGTGATGATGCTTCTATTTTCTAACTTGCAGGTTGAAGCTTTATTTTTATTTAATTTGTATACTGCCTTTCATCCGAATATCACAACATAAAAATACAAAATGAAGACATCAAAATACATAATAAAAAGCAAAGTGAACCAGTAAACTTGCCCCCCCGCCCACAAGAGGACCTCTCCTCTTATTCCCATGAGTGCTAAGCATGTAAGAAGCTTGAACCCTCTAAACCAAATCCAAGCCAAATGGAAGAACAAACAAAGCAATGTTATTTAACTATAAACACAGCCAATACCGAGGCATAACATGTATAAACAGTGCAAGAATTCTAACCTGTGGTTGTGCTACAGTAAGATTTCCCTACCCCTGTCCTTCCCTTCATTATGTTCCTCATTATTTTTTATTTTAAGTGTCTCTTTATGAAATACAGTCAAACTGTGGCTCCCGAACAGCTCCGTTTTTGAACATTTCGGCTCCTGAACTCTGAAAATCCACAAGTAAATGCTCTGGTTTTTGAACATTTTTTCAGAAGCTGAATGTCCGACGCGGCTTCCGCTCCAGTGCAAGAAGCTCTTGCAACCAATCGGAAGCCGCCCCTCGGTTGTTGAACGTTTCAGAAGCTGAATGGGCTTCCGGAACGGATTGCGTTTAACAACTGAGGTTTGACTGTACTGAAGGCGCAATGTTACATGCATACTGATGCCACTGCAATACTTGCAAGTATTTAACTACACAATGGTTAACTGAAGATGCAAAACATCCCCTTGTAGTGAAATAACAAAAATAATCCCAAAAAGTTGTGATTTGATAAAAACCAATGCATGGCAAGAGACGCGGGTGGCGCTGTGGGTAAAAGCCTCAGTGCCTAGGGCTTGCCGATCGAAAGGTCAGCGGTTCGAATCCCCGTGGTGGGTGCGGTGCGCTCCCGTTGCTCGGTCCCAGCGCCTGCCAACCTAGCAGTTCGAAAGCACCCCCGGGTGCAAGTAGATAAATAGGGACCGCTTACTAGCGGGAAGGTAAACGGCGTTTCCGTGTGCGGCTCTGGCTCGCCAGAGCAGCGATGTCACGCTGGCCACGTGACCCGGAAGTGTCTCCGGACAGCGCTGGCCTCTTGAGTGAGATGGGCGCACAACCCCAGAGTCTGGCAAGACTGGCCCGTACAGGCAGGGGTACCTTTACCTTTACCTTTAATGCATGGCAAAAATAATTTAGCGTGGCAGTGGGCTGTGAGTCATACATGGCTGCCTTGGCTCTTTACTGTAGAATTCTAACTTTAGTAATAATCTGGGTCTTGTCATAGAAAGTGCGTACACATGATCACAAGAGTATTTAATGTAGTTTTCAGATGTCAAACAACTTGTACGTCCTTGCCCTAAAGGTGTGTCACAGATGCAAACTGAGTGATGGAAATTTGATTTCAAAGTATGTCAACACTTACTAGGTGTTCACTGTCACTAATTCTCTAATACTTTCTAGTTGTCCTAACTCCATTTAAAAAAAAACAACTCCAACCCAAATATTGGCTTCAAAAATATCTTAAGTGCATAATTTAAATAACTCATCCATGGGGGAACTAGATGCTTTACTCCTGCAAAATTCTGACATGCCAGCAACTTTTCTAGGAATTAGAAACTATCAAATCTTTTAACATAGTCATGGAGAGAATAAAAGTATTTGCATGTACAACTGCCTGAAGATGAATCCAGTCAAACAGCGCTAGAGGAATGTCATGTCATTCTGCTTTGGGAATGCTAATTAATACTGCACAAACAATCCCTGTAAAAACTAAACACATTCAAATGTTTTGAAGTAAATGGCAAAAGACAATGTTCAAATTAATTATTAATTAAAAATGAATGTTGCCATCTTTAAAGATTTTTTTTTTCAAAGCACAATGTGCACTGATTTAAAATGCTGAAATATCAAAGTATTATGAGCCTTAGATTTCCTTTCTCCTTTACCCCCTGCTCAACATATTATGCAGGTGGGAAACTTTTTAAAAACCATTAAATGCTAATTACCTTCACAACTAATTATTAGGGTGGCGCTAGGTTAATGCTTTCCTACCTTTTGATTTAGACCTACTTTTGTCAATGCCTTATTCATATTACTTTGAAGTAGAAGGGCTACAAATTAATTCTTTTAACCATATTATTAATTGGCTATGTGATCTTTTGGCAACAGGACCAATAATTTCACGGTCACGTTCTGAGATACAGCTTGCTACAGTCACTTCCAGTACCTCTAAAAGTGGAGGAAAGAGTTATTTGCAGTGCCAGTTAATCTATGTACAATTTTGGGGACTTGCAACAAATGTGTTGTTGGTTTGATCATTCTGCCCTGGTTATCACAGATGACCCTGTGCTTATTCCGCACAATTGCAAAGCTCCTGATGAAAGTTTAGAGCTAGCCATTTCCCCACAGAATTTGGTGGCTTGCAAATTGCTGCATGCCTCTTGCAACGACGAAACTTTCCAGCACTCATGTAGTTTGGAAATAAATGTATGAACTTTAAAGCCAGCTTAGCGAACAATATATAAGAGTCCACTTGTTTAGTGTAAGAATTGTGCTTTATACCCAACATTAGTTTTATAACAGTGGCCAGACACATTTTTCTGGAAGCCCACAGGGAAGATACATGGAGGAATTCAGCATCATGCTCTTCTGATCGTTCCATCAGTGCATATCCCAGCTTGCCAGACAAGTCATCTTCACTTTCCCCTGTCCCCGTTCAACCTTCTGGACTGTCTCCCAACCCAGCAGAGCAGGTTTGGGGGAGGTGTGGGGCGGCATGGGGAGGGGATGGAAACTCAGTTGCGCTAGCAAAAGACCTTCTGCTGGCTTCTGCCAGCGTGCCAGTTTAGTGGGATCCAGCCCCCTGGGCTGCATGTAATGATCAACCATGGATTAGTTCTATGTGGGCATGTCTGAATGAACCCAAGTACAGCACAGGTGTCGCATGCTCCCCCTTCCTGTGCAGATGACAGAAGGCCTTAGGTTGCTCTACCAGACCCCACCTATTCCTTGAGCATTCATCCGGATTCACTTGCTTGCACAAAGCTTATGTGAAAGTTAGATAATTCCAGGTCTTTACTGAAAGTCTTCAACACAGGTGGTAAATGGAAACAGTGGCACTATAATATCTTTAATGGATTTGACCCTAGCATCTTGTGCTCAAGAGTAGAATCTCTTTGAACAAGAAGATTCCATTTTAGCCACCATGGAAAAACGGTGATTAATAGATCTTTCCAGATTCATTAAAGGATCCAAGTGGAAACAATGCATTAAGAGACAAAAAAATCTCCCAAAGAAATGCATTTTCAGAATGCAATTTCTGTAAACTGGTGGTTTACAAGCCAAACGACTGAGTGAAAAGTGAGTTAACAATGCCCAGGTGGATTTGTCAGACCAGACTAAAATGGTTCCTTTTCTTCAAGTTGGCACAAACATTTCTGGAGTTTATATTTTTGGCTTCATTGGAAGAGGGGCAGGGAGAGGGAGAGAGACAGGAGATAAATGTAAACAGCAGCAACATTCCTCTTTACTTACATTGCTTGCATAGGGGAACGTCCTGGGCTGCTGTCACTCCCATTACTGTTCGCATGCTCCATTGCACCATTAAGATCTTCCCGCATAGCATTGGCTAAACTGCCCAGAGTGGGATTTCCCATGGAAGCAGTAGTGTACAGAGGTATACTGTTCTCAGCCATTGAAGCCTGTCGAGTCAAAGAACAAGACATAAGAATCCATAGCAACACATGCTCATACATGTGCCACAGATCAGCTGCAAGGTAACACTGTTTGCACTATGTTTTCATTAAATATAATGGATAAAATGTCCACTTAATTATTTCCACCACTGGCTAGAGCATAGCTAAGATTTCACAAAGCTCTGTTTTCTACTTGTAGTAACTACCAAATACAATATCACCCCATTCACACTCAGGGAAGAATTCAAACGATGACTGGGACAAATTAAATATGCTAAATTATAGATCTGGCCTTGGTTGTTTATTTAAAAAAGGAAACAAACCCAGAATGCAGGCAATCTGGATTGGGACCATAGTGTAGGTGAAGGGTTTTTTTAAAATGCCTTACCTCAAAAATTGTCCCCTGCTGCTATTTACATTAGCACCAATGGCACTAGGATAAATTCCTAGTGTCACCAGATAGAGCTCATAACTCATGTCTGAAATTCTGGAGCTCTGGTGCCACTCAAGTGTACTAGATGGACCAGTGGTGTGACTTGGCAAAAGGAAGCTTCCTGTGTTCCTGTTCGCTCATTTTGTACTATGAACTCCTTACCATCTTCCCATGTACCTCCTTGTGGTATAATTCCACATGGCTGTGCTTGTGAATATTACACCCAAGTATGCAGGACTAACAGCTTGGATGGATCTGAATGTGAGTTGATGGGGAAAAGGTTATTTAGTTTAGGGGAAGTAATTGGGACCGGAATGTTTTCTGAGCTCTTCTAATGTGTATCATTCATGAAAACGGAATCATATTCAAGAGCAAATATTTTAGGCCACATCCTGGTAACATTATTTCCATATTCTTGTTTTGACTTGTGGTATCTGCTTTGATACAACTTTCATTTGGATGGATGCGACTTGCACTGGACTCCCACAAAATTCCAGGGAAATGAATAAAGCAGCAGTGTTTGGCTGCTTTGTTCTCACATTGCTTGTCAAATGTAGTCAAATTGCCAAATAGTGATTTAACCATGCCAGTTCTGAGCTGCACTGGAACTTCAGTAAACAGGCCCTCATATTCAATATTCCCTGAGTCAGAGTATAGTCTAGTTTGGAAGATTTCTGTTAAGTGGTCAATACAAAATCTTAAGATATAAAAATGAGATATTCACTAGCTTATATTCAAATAGAAAATAGTGCAAGAATTGGACTTAAGTGCATGTTCTTTACAGAAAATGAACTGATAAACCATTTCTTTGCACTTGCAAACCTGAGATGAAGTCCTCACTTGTTCTTTATAGAGTTCATTTCTAGTGCCAAGGTCTTTACAACCTTCATTTCACTGAGACTTATGACAATTTAGTGAGGCAAGACAGTTTCATTCCCACTTAAAAAAATGAAGGGCTAAGACTGAGAGCAGGTGACTGGGCCCATGGCCACCCAAGAAGTATGTGGCTGCACTGGAATAACAACAAAGACCTGCCAGGTTTCAACCAATATGTGATCCACTAGACCAACTCCCTGGACAGAGTCAAGACTAGTCTGTTTGCATCTTAAAATGCAATAAACACACAGCCCTGTCCTACTCTACTAGTGCAATTTCCTAGTGAGCGGAGGTGCATGAGAAAGAGAACAGGGAGGGAGAAATAATAGAAATGGTGCCTCCTGCATTGCTGGAAGGGGCAAGATCGCAAAATACACATAGCATCAAAAAGGGTAAAGAGGAGTTAGGCCAGAGAGAGGTTGACTGGGGTCCACTTTTTTGTGGGATTTAAAGGGCCAGGTGGAAGCAGGAGGGGCAGCAGGAAGTTGATAGCCCTTTAAGCAATAATAGATAGATAGATAGATAGATAGATAGATAGATAGATAGATAGATAGATAGATAGATAGATGATAGATAGATATAGATAGATGATAGATAGATAGATGATTGATAGACAGACAGACAGACAGACAGACAGACAGACAGACAGATAGATATTTAAAAGAAATATTTAAAACAGCATTGGAGGTGGAGTAGTTGTGTTCTTGGAAACATTCCAGGCACTACTAGTACACGTGCAGCCACATTTTACATATCTCACACTGGCTGAGGCAGAAGGCGAAGTGAGAGGAGGCCTATCTGTTTCAGCCTGAAACTGGCAGAGTGATCAGTACTGAGTTGGGGGCAATGCTGTCAAGTGATGGCAGCTGGGCCAGCTCAGGATCCAGCAAATTGCAGGCTAGGTTAGCCCCTTCCCTCTTAGCAGCAGTACCTCTGTCTGCCCATCTGTTTTCTGGGCGGAATGGGGAGTTCTGTGCCCTGAGCGGAGACTGGCAAGGCTCAGCCAAGGGATACCTCCGCCCAATCCAACTCCTGTGTTAAACCTTTTAAAACTCTGCACACACCCCCTCGCTTGCCTGCACTTCTGAGACCCGACATATGCCTGTCTTTGGGAGCAATCAGGCTGGTGGGCACAAGCCAGGAGGGTTTTTCAGTTGTGGCCTCACATTCGCAGGCCCTCTGTTGCAGCAATGTTGTTGTTTTTTTTAATTATTTTAATTGGGCTGGTGAAATCTGTGGTTCCTTTTAACTGTGACTGTTTTGTCATTTTAATGTTCTACTGGGGCTAGCTGCTATTTTAATGTATGCTCTGGCTATTTATTCTCTTTATTATTTTAGTGTTATTGACTGTTCCTACTTTTAAATTATGCATTTTATATATTACAGTTACATATTTATTTGGCCCATGTACCTTAACGTGCTGCCTTCTGAGAATTTCTCTTTTTAAATATGGGACACAAATCTATTAAAATAAATAAATGAAATATAAGGGCAATTAATTTCTGAGAGATACTTTTTACAAAAAGTAGGATGATTCTGGCTCTCCTAGTGTTCAGACTATCTGAGATGGGGGGGGGGAAGGCTTTTTGAAGAAATTAGCACTAAACAAAAACACCCACCAGCTAATCACACTGTGGATGTGTGCTAAGGAGGAAACTATTTGCAAGTTAGTCCATACTGAACTACCTGGCATTGCTGAATGTTGAGATGTTTTGACTCTTTACTTACTGCAGTGTAACCTGAAGAAACAGATTCAACACAGTCGTCACTGGTGGCTGCAGAAGTCTGCTGCTTTTATGCTCTATCTAGCGGCCCTCCCCGAAGCACAGTCCCTATCTCTATGCAGTGCAATCAAAAAACTACTCTAACGAAGAGGATTATATTAATCTTTTTTTATTCAAGATGCAGAAAAATAATTTTGATGAAGTGGGGAACATAAGACTCATGCTTCCTGCAGTTTGAGAAATAATGAGTCACGCACTTCCCACCACCGAGATAACTTGTAATTGCAGTAAAGTAATTTATTTAGGAAGAGCCAGAATAGGAAAAGCACCTGCTATTCCCCCCCACCCTCCAAAAACCACAGGTGGCCAAATGGACAAATTCCATTCAGAAGCAACAAGATAGAAAGCAACAGGGGATCTTCACATGGCAACATTCTGAGATGTGGATCAGAAATGCTAATCTGGAAATTCTAATGGTGTTTTTCCCCACTCAAAAGCCCTCAGGGCCGTGATCCAAAGGCACATGATGCACCACTTACAAGCACCACTTTTCTACATTTTTTCACAGCTTCCCCATGAGTCACTAGACACAGCCCTTTGGTTGGAACTTTCTATCTTTGTATAATAAAGGGATAATGATGTTTTACAAACTTAAGAGTTGCCTCCTCCTTTTACTAGGCTCCTGTCATATCTTGAAAATGCTTTGTGATTTAGGAGGGGAGACTACAAAGAGAACGTGGGAAACACATAATTAAACAAGGGAGAACAGGAGCATCCGAGATGTTCATTCATTCCTTTTGCTTCACTTTGTGTTCCACCAGGTTGAGCATATCGGTAGATCTGACGGTTGTTTCACCCTTGTCTAGCCTCAGAGAAGTAAATCACGGGTAGAAGTGCTGCCTGCTGAAAGAGTTTAGGGAGCCAGCTGACAGCAGATGGATTGCAAACAGAGATACTGTGCTTCTGGGAAACTATTGCAGAAGACAGTTACCTCACCTATAGGACAAGAAAGAAAGCGAATGTGGGGATATCCCATGAAACAGAGGGGGGGGGAATCTGTTTCTTGGCTTTGAATGACAAGAGAATGGCAGAATGGTTTGTGACAGCTGAATGAAGAAGGTGCCATGTCCTGGAAAATCCACCAACAATATAAGCCAGCTTGCATGCTTAATGAGTTGTGTTTGCAGTAGTCCTCCAAGCTGAGATAATGGAATGGGAATTAGTTGTAATGACTATTACCACAACCAGCAAAAAGTGGGCACATGGCTTGATAAATGATGATCTCCCAACACATGCCTATCAACCATTTGTTGCTTACATTGCTATACAACATAGTATCAAGCCATCAAAGATGTTTTGCTTGTTTTTGCAGCAGAGAAAAGGCATTTTGCATGGTTTTGTATTCTGCTTAATTGCTCAAGGCTTCCTAAAAGTCACAGCTTTTGAACTAGGATTCTTTCTAGAGATGCGGAGCATTGAGAGTCCCAACAAAAAGAGATGGGACACTATATGCTCAACAAGGAAAAAAATTCTATACACTCACAAGCAGTGCTTTAAAAAATGCTCACTCCCTTTCTGACTGAGCCATGTATATAAACTGGAGCTAATTTGAAACATAAGAAACAAAATAATTGTTTTCCAGATGGTGGCCACATGATTTTTTTTGCACGTGTACTTGTCATGTTATCTTCCACACATTTCTACATTTTCAGTCATGGATATTCACTGCGAAACTACTGCTGTCCATAACACTGAGTGAAGCTTGATAAAATGTCTCTGGGGCCTTCTTGGGTTTTGTTCCTCGTTCACAAAGGCCCTCCAGTGTTCTTTTCTGTTCTGGGCATGTGCATAAGCATTTCCGTACCTGTGTGTGCACGCCTTTTAAAAAATGGCTAGGTTGTGCTCAGGTGAGGAGCAAACAGAAGGACAGGTGTGTGGAAAATAGCTCATCTGCTGAAAATAAATGAATGAATCTGCTAAGTAGCTTCTACACCAGCAGTAACTACAGATGTGTAATGAGTTGTTTTTATTTACTGTATTTCCTGTGGTAAGGGGAAATATGGATTATTTTGGGGGGGAAAGGGGGGACTGACATTTTGATGCTGTCATGTGGACGCTGCAAAAAAAACATATGTGCCCAAGAAGCACCAATTCCACAATAAACTCCCTTCTGGAAGCACTCTTAATTTATTAAATGTTATTTGAAATATATACCACCTTCCTCTTGTGTATGTTTTTCTTTTTTTGGGTTTTCTTTTTTAGTTTTTTTAGGTTAAATGATGGTAGTGCAGGAGAACAGAAATTACTGTTACGTTATCACATAATACGGGGGGGGGGGGGAGATGACGACAACAACACATGTCTTAGAACTAAAACACGAACTGTTCTGTATGATAAGCATATTAATTGAAATTAGTCACATAGCTAACAGAAGCTGAAGGAATGCTGGATCACTTCATTTTTGCCTTTCAGCCTCATGAATGCAAAATGTGCTTGTAATCTTAATACTATTCCGCAGACGGAGCATGTCTTTAAAAACCGCACTTCACAAGACTCGAGGGAAAATAAGATCCTAATGAATGGTATTTACAGTTGCTTCATTTGCACATGCTTTCATTTGCTTTTCAGAAGTTACTACATAAACTGAAGTAATTAGGGGTAATGTGGGGCTGCTACTCCCTTCTTAATCAATCCCCTTCTTGTTTTAAAAGTAAAAGGGAAAGTCCAGCAAACGCTCTCAGAAATGTTATGGCGTGAAAAATGCACGTATTCTGTGACTCTGCATCTAGATAGGCTTATGACAATACAACTTATTACAGTGGGGTACAGGCAACTGTGTCATGTCACTACCTACAGTTTTGCATATTGGCCAAGTAGAATGCCTTCAGAAGCATTTTCCATAGACACAAACAACGTGTGCGTGCGTGCGCGCGCACATATGCATGTGTGGGTATGCAATCCAGCTCAGTTATAATCAGTGGGGATTTTCTTGTTGAGCAGAATCCGAGGTGGATTGCCATCGGTATGCGTGGTCTGTGCATCACAAAAATTAAAGACCTTTCAAGTGTGAGAAGCAGCATAGAAGAATCAAAACTTATCTCTTTACAGCGACAACCATACAAATGTTTATTTAGTTACATCTATTTCCACACCAAACATATTGAGGGGAAGTAGTGAGAATGTTTTCTAGGGAATTTGAACACAAAGCTGTGAAAAAGCACCTGCTTTTGGTTGGCCTATATAATTTTTATAATTTTGCATGTCTAGAAAATGTTCAGAAGCTTGTTTATACATTTGTAACTGCTTACCCACGTGAGAAAGTATCTAGACATTTCCCTTAAAATCATTTGTTATCGGCAGCACAAAAGTGACATCTCTTTTCTTCCAGCGTGATGCAAGTGCTAGCTATTTCATAACAGAAAAACAAGCATCTGAAAGATCCTTAAAAGAAAAATCTCTCTCTGTGTGTGAATCTGCTTTCCCTTTAAAGCCAGGAACAATAGAAGGTCATGTGATACAGTATCCTATCATTCAGCACATTAATAGCTGTGCTAGAGTAATTACACTTGTGGTATTTTTGCCTCAAGTGAAATTCTGAAATAAGAGGATGGAAATTATGATACTGCTGATAAATATTAATAAGTGAACTTTTAATTTTTTTGCCACAATATTCAAAATGCTAAGCATCTAGCTAATGCTGAAGCGGCCTGATATGTGTTTGCCTCCAGGGACCATGATGCTTTATGCACTTAAGAAAAAAGTTTAACGGAATTAAAATTTAATATCTAATTAGAGCAAGGCTAATATATTTTGAAACGAGTAGGAAGACACACACACACGCCTATGTGACATATTTGCCACACTCATTAATCTTACCTGTAAAGCAGCACTGAGAGGTGAGCAGTAGGTGTGGCTGGTCTGCATGTTTTTAATAAGTGAAGGGTTTCTGCGCAAGGAAGATAGGTAAAGAAAGGGTAAAGTTAAATACAGTCAAATTTGCACTTCCAGAAGGCCAGGCTTTCTCCCATACCAGGAAAAAAAGACAACACATAATAAACATGGTGGGGGTTTTTTGTTATGTTTTAAACTACATAGCTATTTTGACTGCCCTCACCTTCACTGAATATGTATCTCAGGTCTAATGTCATGTTTTGGTCTCAGAGCTGAAAGTGCCCTTTAGATGTTCCCTGAGCTACATACCTCTGTGCAGCTCCCACACAGCTGGGAGAACATCCATATGAGGCAGGCAGAAGATGCTCACATGGGTCTTTCCCACAGAACTGACACTGTTTTCCCTATAACATGGGAAACCAGCAAGTGCGTCAGCCAGTGTCGTATCATTTAAACATTCTCCCAACTCTGCGGGAGCTGTTCTTGGATGTGAAGCTGGGAGAACCTCTGAAGGGCATATTGGTCAAGTTTGTTGGTGTCTGTTTTTCAGTTGCACCCACCAGTTTTTCCTGGACTTCTTATAATGAAGGCCCCCCACAAAAGCATGTAGGGCGTGGAAAAGAAAGAACGATTCATCCATCCCCAAACATCCCACATCCTCTGTTCCTGTGTGAGACACCATTCTTCTTGGCATGGCTTCTGACTGGAAGGGAGCTACTGCAAAGCAGTGACTTGTGCCAGAAATCCATGCAATGTTTTTAGAGGCAAAAAATAAAATAAAATTCTTTTGTGTACCTATGTTGGTCAGGTATCACTGAATGATCTAATGATGCCTGAAGTATGTTGTTGGAAGTACCTAAAAAACTAAGTGTTTTACAATACACAGTGGGTTGGTCATAATTTAGTAGGACTTGTGTTCCCACTGATTTCACCGGAAATTAACTCATGATTACCTTTTCACATTGAATTCAATTACAGAACTAACTCACAGCACAATCCTGGTGGATTGCAGGAGATTTCCTGCCTCAGCAGGGGATCGGACTGAATGACCTATGACTCATCAGAGGTAAGTTTAGTAAGTCTGGGTCCAACCTAAATGTGCCCAAGTATGTAATAAGAAAACACGCAAGGGCAAAATCCGTCAGATACTACTGATCGGATCCCTCCATTCTCTTGCTCAGTAAACTTTACTGAAATGAAAGAAAAACATAGCAAGGGCACCTGGTGGGTTGTACTTGGAATTTCTCTCTGGGACCACTAAAAACAATGCTCATCCTAAATCAGTAATAACCCCCCCCCCCCCCAAAACACTGTGCTGTATCATTACTTTCTTTGTTGAAATAATGGCTTACCCCTTTTATTTTTAAGGAGTCTTCATACAGAAATATGCAATTTAAAGCCTCCAGCTCTAATTTTTTAAACATTTATTGTGCACCTTTACAAATGCCACTGCAATGGCCTTTACCGCCCAGTTTCGAATCTTCCATTCCTGGGTAAGGTGATTGAGAGAGCGGTTGCTGAACAGCTTGGTAGGTTTCTGGACGAAACATCGGCTCTGGATCCATTCCAGTCCGGCTTCCGCGCTGGTCATGGGACCGAGACGGCTCTGGTCGCCCTAACAGATGATCTTCGTAGACAGCTGGATCGAGGCGGGTCGGGGCTGCTGATTCTTCTAGATCTGTCAGCAGCTTTCGACATGGTTGATCACGAACTTCTGGACCACCGCCTCGCCGACGTGGGGATCCAGGGCACAGTCCTTCAATGGCTGCGCTCGTTTCTCTCTGGTCGGGGACAGAGGGTGGCGCTTGGGGGGGAACTGTCATCCCGCCACTCCTTGGTGTGTGGAGTGCCTCAGGGTGCGATTCTCTCCCCGATGCTTTTTAACATCTTTATGCGCCCCCTCGCCCAGCTTGTCCGGAGTTTTGGGCTGGGCTGCCATCAGTATGCTGATGACACCCAACTCTATCTGTTGATGGATGGCCATCCTGACTCGGCCCCAGACACACTGATCAGATGCTTGGAAGCTGTGGCTGGATGGTTACGTGGGAGCCGGTTGAAGTTAAATCCTTCGAAGACAGAGGTCCTCTGGCTGGGACGGGACGATATGGGATTGAGGGGGCAACTCCCATCTCTTGCGGGGGTGCAATTAGTGCCAGCACCGTCCGTTAAGAGTTTGGGTGTAATCTTCGATACCTCCCTCTCCATGGAGGCGCAGATTGCAGCTATAACAAAGGCGGCATTCTTTCATCTCCGCCAAGCTAAGCAGTTGGCTCCTTACCTCTCTCGCCCTGACCTAGCCACTGTGATCCACGCGACGGTCACCTCCAGACTGGATTATTGTAACTCGCTCTACGTGGGGCTGCCCTTGAGACTGACCCAGAAGCTCCAGCGGGTGCAGAATGCCGCAGCGAGACTCCTTACGGGGTCTTCGCTGCGGGATCACATTCATCCGGTGCTATACCAGCTGCACTGGCTCCCGGTGGAGTACAGGATCAGGTTTAAGGTGCTGGTTTTAACCTTCAAAGCCCTACACGGCCTAGGACCCTCGTATCTACGGGACCGCCTCTCCTGGTATGCCCCACAGAGGAACTTACGGTCCTCAAATAAAAACATCTTGAAGGTCCCAGGCCACAGAGAGGTTAGGCTGGCCTCAACTAGAGCCAGGGCTTTTTCGGCTGCGGCTCCAACCTGGTGGAACGCTCTGTCACAAGAGACAAGGGCCCTGCAGGACTTGACATCTTTCCGCAGGGCCTGCAAGACAGAGCTGTTCCACCAGGCCTTTGGTTAGGGCACAGCCTGACTCCCTCCTTTGGCAATCTTTACAATACTTTAGTTTATGGTTGCCATCAATTTTGATTTTAATTAATTCTTATGATGTTTTATAATGTTGCACTATTTTAGTGTTGTTAGCCGCCCTGAGCCTGGCTTCGGCTGGGGAGGGCGGGATATAAATAAAATTTATTATTATTATTATTATTTGAGCATTGTTTTCAAACATGTTTGAATCTTTCAATTTGTTCGTTGTAGCAATGCAAATTTTATTGAGAGAATACGGGGGACGGGGGGTGGGTTAAGACCAACTAAAATTATCAATATGGAAACAGCCTAAAACCATCCTGCTAATTGGTTATACAGCATTACCCAGCATCAGCATGATAAAGAACACATCCTTATAACAAAGTATCACCATAAACGTGTCAGAAAGTGTTAGCATAGGCATTTGCAAAGAAGCAGTGCGATGCATGTACAACCATGACATTTAAGGGGGAGATTTCTTTTGCAGCAAAGGCAATGCCACTATTTCGTGAAATGCGAGTCTACATGAGATGGATAAATCATGCAAAGCAAAAGCAACAGAAAACAAAAATTTGGGAGGGGAGGAACTAGCACGCCCACACACACACACAAAGCAAGTAAAAGCTCTTACTGTGTAACAAGCTCGCCAAAGTTTTCATCAGGGCAGAATTTTCTAGGACGGCCTCGTTGAATATGACGGCCCCGTTTAAACTCTTCATCATCAACAGTCCAAAAGGACCCAAACTCATCCTCTACTCTGATAAAGCACTTATGCAGGGATAGGTTGGTGCGAATAGCACCCTGGGATAAGATCAGCAAACGAGATGAAGTGGAAACAAAGTGACATGGGATCGGGGAATAGAACAGACATCAAATACAGGGGAAAGGAAAAAGAAAATAAAATGCAATAAGCATAAGCAAATGGATTGTGAGGGTTAATATGCATTGCCACCTAAAAGCTACTAGCATGTGATGCAAAACAAACACCAAGCAAGCAAGGGCAAGGGGACTGGTGGGCATACAAACGATAGTGATGAAATGCTCTCTGTTGTTTCTCCTTGACTGAAACAAGGTGAAACTACCCTGGATTGATCTCTAAACACCATCTAGCAGCCAAAGCCTCTATGTTAAAACTGTAAGCATGATCCAAGCTAGGCTAAGAAGTTCAAACATGGTGGACATACCCACTGATCTTTTGTGGCCTTCGTTTTTGGAACTCTACTTCATCCACTGTCCATACTGCCCCTTTTACGTTTTCTACTCGCACAAAACACTTGTGAAGACTAAGATTATGACGCACTGCATTCTGCAGCAAGTATAAGAGAGAAAATATTGAAGAAGAAGAAAAAACTTTCCATGAGAAGACGAGACTTAGCATTGTCCATGAACAGCAGCATTGTCAGCTGGCAAGTCCCCTTTCCCTCACCCGCCCTCCGCATTGGACTGCATCATATTTATATGTTTATAAGATTTGCAAAAGAAATAACATAAAATCAGCTCCAGATCCCTTGATTAGCCACCAGGGTTGGGTTTCTTTTAAAGAACATGACCAACATTCAACCTGGGCAAGAATTAAAAAACAACAACACGCAATTGTCATTTTACATGCTTTGTCACCCCAGGAGCTCGTATAGAACCAAGGCATAGTAGAACAGGGCTAAAGGATTTATAAAACAAAAGGCAAACTTTTTGGGGGGCGGGGGGGGGACACATCCTGCCATGAAAAAGGGAAGGAAGAGTGCGATTAAAAAACTGGGTAAAAACTGAGGGTCTGGTTTTGTAAAACTAAGTTTTCATGACCTGCTAAAAGTTCAATAAATGTTAGTCATGTGTAAAAATTCCATACATAGGTTGGATCCAGATTAAGTTAGTTGAACTCAGTGGGACATGCTAATCATGTCTTCATTTGAGTCCCACTGATTTAAATGCGAACCGAGTGCAAGTATCTTAGTCCAGATCCAACCCACAGCAACACATTTCAGAAAGCAGAAATATATCAAGACATAGCTCTGGGGGTGAAAAAACCCTCTTAAAGTCTTTCACCACATACTCCAGTAGGGAAGCTGCCTTCCATTCCTGAATTCTGGCTAAGCATTTGGTAGATCCATGAAGAAACACCCAAACAAAAATTCACTGCTTGTAGTACATAAATGTCCACTGAGTCATGTTTCTGAAGGCCTCACCAATTCCATAATTGTTTTCGGATTGACACTTCCAGCAACCGTACTTCAGTACTGCATAAAATATTCCATTTTTGAGCCACCCATACCACTGAAGTACAGTACAGTATTGTATTGTATTATATTGTATTACTGCAGAGGGACAAAGCCTGCTGTTCCCCTCAACCCCTAACACTACCTACCCTAGTCTCCAGGAAGGCAAGCAGCATGCTCTTCCCCTGTACTATCCAAGCTACTTCATCTGTCCCAGTGCTTAAAAGGCAACTGATAGCTGGTAAAAGGGAGCAGACCGGAAATACACAGGTCAGTAACTAGCATCTACCAACTGTCAATGGGGAGGCTAGTTTACAGGCACAAAGCCAGAAAAACATATGGACAGGTGCATAAGTAAACAAAAGACTAAGCTCCATATTCATGAAATCCTGTATATGTAGTGAAAGGCATTCTAATCATGGCTGTCTAAAATCACTGTGCAAACCAAGGTTAGGCATAACACATTTATCATATTAATTAAACAGCGGAGGGAGGTCTGTGTTACAACGGGGGAGGGGATTCCAAGAATCCTTTGATACTGCAGTTTCTCAGCGTAACTAATTTCCTTGCCCTTGTAGCATATCCATTTCCCCAGAAGCGGCTAAACAGACAGTCCAATGTATTTGAACAAATCCAGAGCTATATATGCTTTTTTGGCAGAAAGAAAGTTAATAAATCGCCGAAGACTCCTATAACCACATAACGTGGAAGCTGCTGAGGATCTACAATGTGAGTTCGTTACTTCAGTTGCTCTACGAGCCAAGGCTGGGTGAAAAGCCAAGCCTTTAAGCCGGGTGAGATCCATCACACCGTCCCACAATTTCCACTCCATAATTTCACTATATGAACAACTTTGGCTCTGATTATTTCCTTTCTGAAAATGTGTTTAAGGAACGGCAGAATGGTAACTGGAATCCTGCACATGAGTGGAGCCTGGATATCTAAACACATGGGGATCAAACCAGTCAGTCCCTTACTTATGCTTGATTCTATGTGCACACAGTTCTCTCATGAGCATAGCTCTACACCTGGAGGAAGATTGGTAAACAGGAGTTGTGGGTGTCAACAGCACCACACACAGGTGCAGCACATGCTGGGATTTGTGGGGGGGGGGGCTGTAAGGAGAATGTGGCAGGCAACTGGACCAGCACCATGAAGCCTTAATTGTAAGGAATATATTTTTGAGTTGGGAAAATGAAGTGAATAGGATTATATATGTATTATTATTCCTGTACAGTCTTCTTAATCCCTTCTCACAATGCTACTGTTGACCAGGAGTGGAAGACTTCTACCTCTCTAGGAAGCAGTTGTCTATGACAATTGCTCCCCATGTGTAGAGACAACACAGTCACTGTGTCTGACATGGCCGTAAGAAAAAAATGAACTAGCAGGAGATGACTTTGTGATTTTGATTCTCACTGTCAGTATGAGAAAGGAAAAAAACTGCTCTGTACATTAAAACCACAACCACACACCATACAAAAACAATGCTAATTACCCTTGAATAAAGTGTTTGTTGTTATTTATCTGAATAAGCTCTTCTTCATAAAAAACATTTACCTGGCACAGCAGTATGTGTATATGTATATATATATATGTGTGTGTGTGTGTGTGTGTATACACACACACACACACAACACACACACAGTTGTACCTCGGGTTACAAACACCTCTTTTTACAAACACTTTGGGTTACAGACTCCGCTAACCCGGAAGTAGTACGTACCTCGGGTTAAGAACTTTACCTCAGGATGAAAACAGAAATCGTGCAGTGGTGGCAGAGGGAGGCCCCATTAGCTAAAGTGGTGCTTCAGGTTAAGAACCGTTTCAGGTTAAGAACGGACCTCCAGAACAAATTAAGTTTGTAACCCGAGGTACCACTGTATTTGCTTTGGGGTGACATTTCACTGGCTAGCAATCAGTTTGCTATCAATTTGGAATAGATTCACCCTAAATGAGTGAAGCTGGACTTGATCTGATCCGGGCCCAAGTTAAGTTTGTTTAAAGATTGGTTGCAATTTAAGTTACGGGTCTGTTCTGTTACCAATGATACCATGCCAAATTCTCAAATGATATGTTCAGCTTTTAAGGGTGATAGCATTAGGATCCAAGGAAGATAGAGTTCCCATGGATCTTTGGGAGCCTACATCACAATCCAAGGCAACTGAACCTCCCATGGATCCCTGTGCCTAGTAGCCACAAAGATAATACAGAAAGGCCTCTGCAGTGTAAGTCAGTATGGAAAAGGGAAGGGGGGATCAGGTGTCAGGCTCTAAGCCTAACTTCAAAGGGGACATTTTAATAGACTCTGGGGCTTTCAAAATTGGGGAAGTTCATTTCTGAATCCTCCAGTTCTAAAGTTTAGAGCCATCTTGTCTGATTCAGTAAAGTGATTGGTTAAAAAAAAAGGCTAAAAAGGCTCTAAAGGCTTTTCCCATCCCCCCTTTTTTTACTTGAGAATCTGATGCCAACATCTGAATCTTAATGACCACAGTAAATGTTGGCCCTTCTTTCGAGAGAGAAATGCAAAATGAGTGACAAGAGTTAATGAACATTGATCAGACCTGTAAAAAGTGTGGGACTGTAGCTGATGTGAGGTAGAGTAAGCTAAGCGATGATGAAATTGCCCAAGGCCACTCAGTGAGCTTCCGTGGTGGTGTATTTTAAATGTATTCTTTTAGATAGTAACAGGTTATTTTTATATTTTATGTTTACTGGGAAATCTCCAATGAAAATGTGATAGAAGTACTGCAAATCAGACAAAAACAAATATTGCTGAGAGGGGATTGGATTCTGAATTTTCCAAACCTAAGCTCAATATGGTAACTCCATGTACCAAACAAGCTTTCAAGTGTTGTCTAAGTTACTGATCTGAATCATCAGGTAGAAACCTCACTGGCTATGAAGTCTACAGATGTGGCCGATTACATCTGTTGCAGGGTGATAACCAATGCTAGTTGGAGCAGATCCAATGAAATGGGTTGACTTAGGTAATGTTCTCCATTAATTTGAATGGTTCTGCACTGAGTATGACTTAACACTGAAAATCACCCACAGAGTTTTGCTTTCAGAACAGAATCACCAAATTGTTATTTTTTTAAAATTCTATTGCCACCTGCCCCCCTCTTCACTTCACAGTTCAAAAGTGGTTTGGGGCTTCAGGATTAAAGCTTTTTAAAGGTGGCACCAGTGATGTTTCCCCCTTTCTTTTCTTTAAAAAAGCTGCTGTGCCAAATCCCCAAACCACTTTTTGAAATGAGGGGAAGATAAAGAGCAGTTTAGGGTTGGGGGCTTTTTAGAAAGAAACTCTGCAAAAAAATAAATAAATTCAGATGCCATGTGTGCCACTTTGTACTGTAGCCATTTTAAAATAAAGGGAGTATTCTAAGAGAATTTAAACACACAGTGAAATTAACTAAACAGAGCCAAACTATTGAAATTTAAAGCACCAGGGGTATTTTTGTTAAATTGCTAGATTTAATATTTTTATTGGCTTGCGTCTTTACTGCTGTGCCCAATTAACCTGTATTGTGTTTCATAATACACTAGTGAATGTTTTGAGAAGTTGGCATGTTAATTTAAGGCAGGTGTATCAGCTGGCTGAAAAGCCAGTTTTCTATGAATCCTTGGAAAAAGAGTTTGCGGCTTCCAGTTAAAAGAATGTGTACATAAAACCACCATCTGATAAAGCTTCTTCTTCACCCTTTCCCCTATATCTCAGCAGCTGAAATGTTTTCAGTGCTAGGAGCAACTACATAGGCAGACTGGTAGTTTAATCACAGAAGGTGGAGACAAAAAACAGCAATGGGCATCTAAATTAGCAGCAAATTTCAAAGACAGTAGAATATTTCTGCCAACCAGCAAGTTGTTTGTGGAAGATAACGAGGCACCCTGTGTGTGTCAAAACAACTGATCTAGATTTCAAAGTCCACACACCGTTACAAACAGTTATGTCTGCAGCACTATCTGTTCTGTACGTGTCAAATACTAAAGCAAGAGGTACGCATGGCAATAAGGTATACCTTCCACGTTGCTGCATTGCGTCTGAAGTAGGCGAACATTCGCGTGAACCAATTGTAGATTTCATTTAGTGTTAGCTGCTTTTCTGGAGATTCAAGAATGGCCTGTAAAGCAATTAAAACTCAATAATGATCTAAGACAAAATGAGCAGAAAACACACTTGCATATTTGTTTGAATAAATAAAACAAAACGTGACTCTTGAGCACAAAATCGAAAAGAAGGTTTCACGCTACAATCTAAGATTAATGGTTGTATTTAGCAGCTCAATGGCAAAATTCAAAATGGAATTATCTAATTGTTTTGAGTTTTATTTCTGTTTCCTTACAGAAATATTAATTTATTAGTCATTCATAAAGCAGAATCAAAGAGAAATGCAAAACATTTCACTAGCTGATTAAAGCTTAGTAATTATTTTGAGCTCAGATTAATTCTAGGGATCAGAGATTACTGTAGCTTGTGATAATTGACTTGCCATCTTTAAACAGGCTCATTTTCACTGTTGTGTGAAATGAATTTCCTAATAATCACATCGTATAGTAATACTTAATCAAAAGCAATTATGGTATATGTATTGCAGTTGTGAGAGAAAGAAAAAACCTTATAGCAAAGGCTTCAGCATGCCAACGGGCTTCTCATCTGCTCTGTCTATAGCATCACATATATGTACAACCCTGGATCCCAGCAGGCTGTTCCGTTTGTTCTCACTTACCTGCCTAATTAAGGATGCATATGTAAAGGGTGGCCTGACTTCTGCATTCTTGTAGAATTCTTGGTTCTGCGCAAGATCTGCTAAATAAAGTACAGGAGTTCCCTGTATTACCATGGCCCACAGTTCACACGAGCAACACATAAATGAGACAAATGTGAGAATCTCCCTGCACACCCATCAAGTTACCTGAAGAGATGGGCACGTTGTATTTGTCAGAGTACCGCCTTCGGATGGGTCCGACATTGTGCATGCTGGTAGTAGTGATGACAGAAGGTCCCTGGGTAACAGGAGTGATGGGTGCTGTTGGGGTGGTGGGGGTATGAGGTAAGCTCTGCGGAGAAGCCTCTGATGCAGTCTTTGAAAGTGTGACGCTAGATACAAGGTTCAGCTGTGGAAAAAGCAAAAGGAGAGGTCATTTAAAATATTTATCACAATTTGCTCTCCTCGATGCATAGGAGTGGTGTTGTAGTTAAGAGTGTGAACTGAAGACTAGGAAGTCTCTGGTTATAAACTTTTGAGCCATAACCTTAGGGCAAGCTACCATCTTTCAACTCAGCCCCAAGTTCCCTTCCATTGTCAGGTAATAAGATGCTTTAAACACATTAAAGCAAAGGTAGACAATGTGGCGGCCTCCATATGTTGTTGGACTATAACACCCATCATCCCTGACCATTCTGGCTGGGCCGATGGGAGTTGTAGTCAAAAACATCTGGAGGGTATTAAATAAAACAACACGTATTTTTAAATTAAGTTTAACAATTTTTTATAAAAAAACACACATACTACCGAATGCCCCCAAATCAAGTATTTACTATGACTAGTATCCAAAGATGTGCCAAATCTCTATTATCATTAGTGCAAGGGTTTATGCTTGCACAACCAAACTTTTCCTCCCCTCACACACCCCCTTTCTCTGTTCTGGGTTGTCCCCCCACCAGCCAATTCTCCACAGCAGATTTCGGGAAAGCCAGTGGCGGAGCTTCATGCTCCAGCACCAGGGGGTGGGGGTCTGACGCACCACCCGCAGGGGCGTGGCACGCGTCCTGGGGGCATGGTGTGCCACTTGTGGGGGTGTGGCACCCAGTGCAGTTGGGGTAACAGCTGCGATGGCACCCCACTGGGATCATGCTGCAACAACGGCACGAGATACCACCCTATGGTTTTAAGTTAAGAAAGAGGAGTCATTATCTCGTTCACATTTGGCCACATTTGGGTCCAGTGAACATTTTCGTATAGATATGATATGAGGAAAATATCAGAGTTTTGTCTCAAAATGATTATCATTACAGACTTAAAGCAGTTTTTGATACGAATCCATCTTCCCATGAAAATCTGATAATAAAAAACAGTGAGAGAAGATGGAAGAAAAGCACAATATTGGTGCGTGGTTTTTTTATCCTCAGCAACTAAGCTCTTGGAATGATTTGCATTGAAAATTCTGCATGGATGTAAAAGGTTTAAATTATTCTCTTTACATCATGGTCCCAATCCAATTCCGCAGATTCTGTCATTTTTAACAACAACTAAACAAACAAACAAAAATCAGAAACGCATTCACACATTTTTTATATCACTCCTGGTTTGGTCCCAAATAATACCATTAAGCCTTCAATCCTATACTCACTAACTGCAGCAAATTCTATTGAACTCAGTGGGGCTTCCTTCTGAACAGCCATGTATAGGATTATACCCTAGCATCTTACCTATTAGTCATTTAAGGTATTGCAAGGTTAAAGAATATATATTTGGTTAATAAAAAACAGACCACTTAAGAATCAAGGCCATTTTTCTAAGAGATTATACAAAAGGCCCCATGAGGACATCAGAAAATTTATATTTCACGTGTATTACATGGGTTACTTAATTAATCGGATAAATAATCAGTTATCTACAAGCAATATTCATATTTTTTTAAAAAAAATGGTACTATATAACTAGATAATCAACATGGCCAACAATTGGCTGCAAGAAGTGAATAGTTGAAGAGTGCTGATGTTATTTTCCATTAACACAGATCTCATTCCACACAGAGGACTCAAAAAGTATTCAAGACAAATGAAGGCTCATAGGAACTTTGGTGACAGATACAAGATGAGCCTTAAAACACAGTAACTAAATGGAAATCTTGATGTTTAGATGCAAACAGTACAGAATGTGTACTTATGGCCTACTTTTGAGCTCCCCGCTGGGTTAAACAAAGTGGGAGGGCCATTCTAACTCAACTGTCAATATAAACTACTGTCAGAATTCACGATGTATCAGGCTACTCTGGAAAACTTCTCAAAGAAGGGAAAATGAGGTATGTGCACCAATCTCAGAGCTTGGGATACGAGGGGTGAAGCAAAGGGTGTGCCCCACTCTGCAACATTTCTCCATTTACAGAACCTTATTTTTATTTATGTATTCAAAACGTTTTTGTAACACCCTTCATTAAAAATCCCAGAGTGGTTTTCCACACCCAAATCCCAATACAATAAAAACAGTTCATCTAAATCCAATAAATTCAGGAAAAACAGCAACAATCACAGTAGCCAGACAAATCTCAATGCCTTGGTATCAATGGGCAGCCAAATTACACACTACATTTGCATTTCTTCTTCCATACTTAAGACACAGAATGTTATTTCATAACCAAAAGTAGTTGGGGGTGGGGCAGAGATGGTTTGATGTTTTGCTCTTTCCTCCTGAAAATCGCTATCAAGCTACAATTTGCCCCCAAAGTGCTGTTTGCCGTAAACAGCAGCTGGAGGGCACGTGGTAGGAGAACAATGTGGGAAGAAAGGGTGACACTCTTGCACCACAGTCCCCCGTCCAGATCACCTACCACATGCAACTGTGAAAACATACAAGGAATGTTTGGTTTGTGCCAGTCCTTTCCACTTATAGAGCAAGGGGAACAAGCTACACCCAGGAAAACTGAGGAGGGAGCACATGTCTCGTGGAAACTTGGCATGCAAAATGTTGAGGGGAAAGAGGCAGCAACAATATTTTTCTGCACACAGCAGAATTTAGTTATGAACCAAACTTTGCAGAAATGAGAGCTGGCTGGTTGGATCCGTGATTCGATCCCACAGTCTGCTCACATGTCTAAGAAGAAAGATGGGAGGTTTTGCTTTCAAATTGCGCAATGACATGAAATGACGGTTGCAGATTCAGAAATTACCTCGGACAGTGTTCTCTCTTGAAAACACGAGGCAAATGCTAACTTATGCACCTGATTAGCTATCTTAAGTTACTTTATTTGGGATTGCATAAATTCTGTTATGCCCCTCTGACATCTACCCATCACACACACACACACACACACACACACACACACACGGAGAAAGCACAGTAACAGCTATGGTACAATTGAGAAGTCTTGCTAAGAAATCAAATCTACCCTATTTTATCTCCATTGTTAAAGTAGGTGTTTTTAAACATCACAAGCAGATTTGAATCAATTTCCAGTGCTCTTCCATTGCATAAGCTCAGTAGATTGGCTCTCCTGCTGTAAGGAGCACGGATACTGTTTCATCATTACTGTTCAAACCACTCAATTTCAAACAAGTTCAATTCTGTTTTTACTGTTTAAAAGCTTAAACATTTAATCTGTTTCTACTAGGAAGCTGGGGAGGGGGAAGCCCAAAGGTCAATGTTCTCCAGTTAAATAATCTGAATTGAGTTAAATTTCTTTAGGCTTTCCAGGGTAGGTAGTACAACTAGAAATAAACAGAGAAAGTGAGGAAGAGTAAAGGGAGGGGATGCCTCCTTTAACAGGCTTGACAAATGACACTGCGATTCACACCCACTGCTGGGCTGCCACTAATAAGCTACAGAGGAAGCAGCCAATCTCAGCTAATTACCAGATAAAATTGTATTGTAAGGACTCTAATTAGGAGATGCTTATGGAGGTGATCTAATGATTAAACGCCGCATTCGAATGACCCCACCATCAATGTGCAATGGTGCAAGATGTCACTGGAATATTTTGTAGAAACAGTAATTTTATTTCAAGGGGGGGAGGCAGTAATATTTGTAATAATGGCTACGAGGTAAACTAATTAAAAGACAGTTCCTAGAGGAAGGCTGTGGCTTTGAGCAGCTGTGGCCGTTCCAAAACAAAGTGCCAAATCTCGACAGAGGAACTGCAGTCAAGTGGAAAATTTCTGCCTGACCTCTGCTCTTGCTATTAATTTGCAGGAAAACTAATGACACATATACATATTCCCACAAAATTGTTCTAATTGCTAATTTGCCAAAGGAGCCCAGTTTCCAAATTAAACATGACTGCAATCTGAGAGGGAAGAAGAAGAAGAAGAAGAAGAAGAAGAAGAAGAAGAAGAAGAAGAAGAAGAAGAAGAAGAGGGGGAAGGTGGTGTAAGGTAGGAATCTAGCCTAGCATTGTGTTTCACCTCCGACAATGGTTGGGAGACAGAACCAACAAGTTAATGAAACGATGACCTTGTCACTTCCTATAGAAGTTTTGCTTGTCAGACTTCTGCTCGATGATGATAGCATCTCACATTTTGCAAGAGGCCAACATTGGTCAGCCACTGTGCCAAAAATGTAAAGGGGTAGCAGCAGAGAGAATTTACACCGAGTACACTTGAGAATGCGCTGCTTCCATAGCCTCAAAATTCAGTTATTAATTGTGAACTGGAGCAGAACTACTCTATGAATTGTGTTGGTTTTTGTTGGGATCTAAAATATTAATCTTCATTACAAACTATTAAATCTTAATATCATCATCAATTAACAATGAAAAAAGCCCCATCTAGACTCTGGCTTTGCAGCAGCCAAAGATGATTATGCAGGGCAAAGATCAGGAAGGGTTTGTACTGGGAAGGTCTCTTTTCCTGATGGAAATGCCACGCCATTTCTCAATGTTTGCATTTTCTATTTAAAAACATGCTGCTCTGGTTTCAAAAGTTGCTCACAGAGGCATTTGACGGACACAAAGCTTCCACTCTGGTAGAATTTATTTTGAGTGAGACAAATCTGAAACCAGGCTTTATTATTGTGGAGAATGGTCCTTAACTTGGACATCTTAGTGCAAGCTTATATTGCCTAGGCATTTATGGCAATTAGCTACTTGTTTTTGTCCCAGCGACAAGCAGACTGAGCATTATTGGTTTCCATCTTGTAAGCGTTGTCAGTAAGTGACACTGTGTATGGTTCAGAACCTGCTTGAAATGGTTGGGAGTTTGTACCTGAACACAGACAATATCTATGAATTAATAACTATTTCTGTTCTCTCCTGCTGAGAAATAGCTGGCTCTGTATTCTGCCTAAGGACGGATCCAACACTAGGGCTGCCATACATCTGGAATTTTCTGGACATAACCAGGATTCAGCCGTCGGAAATGGTGTCTGGGCGAAAATCACTAGAATGACCAGGAAAATCCG